AATGCAAAATGCTTCACAAATGAACAATAGTCAGCGGATTGTCTCTTTTATATTAGTATGGATACATTATCACACTTATGCTGTTAACTTTTTTTTAATTACATTCTCATTTTTAACATTTACTAATAAAAAATATTATCTTTAATCATGATTTTCGTCAAAATAATATTGTTAATGTGCTTTAAAATGAGGGTCAAAGATTTAGAGTATGTTTGAGCGTCATTTTTTATTTGCTAAAAATACATTTTAGAATAGTAGATTAATGTGGAATATGTGATAATAAAATAAAGATTTTTTTTGAATTTACGTGTAACATTATTTTATTAAAGAATGTGTGGTTGACGAGAATGTGAGAGAAAAATGTATTTTGAAAATAATGTGGACCAAATAAGGATTTAATTGTATTATTATTTTGTTAAATTATTTAAAAATATAATGAGCAAATAAGTCATGTTACTCTATTTTAAAGAAAATTTTGGAAAGAAACTATTATTAGGAATATTTTATGTTAATTTGAAAGAATAAATGCGATTTGAAATATAAATGTCATCACGTGTAAAGATTATTATAAATCTTTCATGCAATTTAAGCTCCTGTTTAGTAGTGATTAAAATCAAATTTTTAGTAGATTTTGATAAAAATTGATGAAATGTATGATTGAAAAATTATAAAACTAATAAAACATGTGATTAACTTGAAGTCGTTTATTGCAGTGGTCGCCCTATGTGGCACACACATGTCAAGTGTCTATTTGATGCATTAAATGTTGTCAAAAATTATTACATTAATGTATCAAATAACTACATGCCATGTGTGTGCCACATATGACGACTGCTGCAATTAGCGACTGCAAGTAGTATTATTTTATTAGGTAAGATATTATGTACAATAATAATAATTCTAAAATTAATTATTAATATTCACTTAAATTAAAATCTGAATTTTAATTCGTATAGTAAAATCTGTGGTGCGCCAAAATCTTCCCACTTCTAGGATCCAAATTCCAATGTCGCTGGAATGGGTAACAAGCACGAGGCTAAAACAGTAAAATTAGATGCACCAAACCAGAAAAGGCCAAAAGCTGCCCACTTTTCTTGTCCCTCCAATGTCACTGGGCCTGGGCTTCTATTCAATTTCACATCCTGCATGTTTTCATTTCATTTGCAGCAGTCGAAGTAAGAGAATTGGTAGTCCGTTTCCCCCCAAAAAATACATCTCTCCAACTGTTAGATCTCGGTCTCCTCCCAATTAATTGGAGGAAATCATGTCAGACGCTTTGATCAGTGGCCTCGCCGGTGCTGGTGGTGGAATCATCGCTCAGCTTATCACCTATCCTCTCCAAACTGTAAAGGATTCTCTCTGTTACAATATATTTTATTTTATTTTTTTATTTTTGATTTTGACTTTTTTTCTTTTTGTTTATGAGTTGTGCTTTATGTGATATTTGATCGTGGTAGGTGAACACGCGGCAACAAACGGATCGAGATCCGAAGAAGGAGAAGAGAAGTCTTGGAACTATGGAACAAATGTTTCAGGTTTTTTTTTTTTTAGATTACGTGTTTGAACTTTCCCCCTTTTTTCTTATATTTATGGAATTAGTAAAGAACTCTAATTGTAGGTTGTGAAGCAAGAAGGATGGGGTCGGCTGTACGGAGGTTTAACTCCGTCCCTGGTGGGCACTGCTGCGTCTCAGGCGAGTTCATTTTTACCCCCTCCTATTTAATTGCTGCTAATGTGGGCTACGTTCACGAGTTATTATGCAACTCTCATATTATTGCTCAAATTTGGTTGTGCATTTTTCTCATAATGTTGGCGTCAATTCTGGATTAAGTAAGAAATGTAGAACATATCTAAAAATTAGTTGTGATCAAAGGTTGGATACTGCAGGACTGGAGTTATGTGTTACGGTTCTTGATGCCAAAAAAAAAGGGAAAAGAAAGGAAAACACAAAATTGCATGTAAAGTAAAAATATTTTGATTATGAATGTGATAGTTTTATGATTATCATCATCATCATCATTTAGTTTCTTAAATTTGGTAAACGGATTGGAAGTCTAATTGTCCAGGTAGTAGGGGAGCACCGTTCTGCCTTGGAGGGACAATAAATTGATGGGCATAGTTGGGGGACTGGGATTATGTGGTCCCCTGGCATTGGCAAGTGTGCCACTGCTGCAAACATATTTGTGAAATTATCTTCACCTGATTTATTCTGATAGTTGCTTGTCAATAGTCCACCCATGTGGTATTTCGAGAAAGTATGTGTATTGTGTAGTCTGTCTATT